TAAAAAAAAAGTTAATATAATAAGTATATTCAAATAGTTTAATTAATCGTTCGGGTATCCGTGATCACCCTCTGTAAGAGAATCAGATTGGTCAAACAAAATCTGACTTAATTTTAAATTTCATTTGATCTGACCTAACCTGATCTAAAAAGAAAATTTTTTTTTATTTACTTTTTAAAGAATATTAATATAAATAATAATATAATAAATAATTAATTTATTTAATTAACTTAATTATTTTAATTGAATAATAATAAATTATTCAAAAAAAAATAATAAAACATCATTTAAGAATAATAAATATATTATTTTTAAAAAAAAAAATAATTATAAACCATCATTCTTAAATGATAAAAACATTATTTTTGAATAATAAAACATTATTTTGAATAATAAAACTATTATTTTAAGACAATAAAATATTATTTAAGGATAATAAAACTATCATTTTAGAATGATAAAACATTATTTAAGAATGATAATGAATCATTTTTGAATGATAAAATATTGTTCAAGAATGATTAAACAATAAATATTATTCGAAAATAATAAAAGTATTATTCTTGAATGATAAAACTATCATACTTGAATAATAATGAATCATTCTTGAATGATAAAGCATCATTTAAGAATAATAAAATATCATTTAAAAATAATAAACTATTGTTTAAGAATGATAAATTATTATTCAAGAATGATTAATTAACCTAAATTTTATTAGATTAGATCAGGTTAACCTATTGATCTAACCTGATATTATCCTAAAAATTTATTGATTTGGCCTAAATTTTCAGATCAAATCAGATTAGGTAAACAGGTTGACCTGATCTGATTTGAAACTTTATAATATATGTATTTATATACAAATATACAAATATAATATTATTATTAAAATTATAATGTTTATTTTAAAATTTTAGTTAATATATCTAACTTTGAAAATTTTAAGAAAAACTTAAATGGATGCTTTTTTAAGAAAAATGTATATATATTATATCTTTTTATAAATAAAAAATTTTATATATTTATAATTTTATTTATATAAAAATTATTTATAAAATTAAATTATAAAATATAATAATTTATATAATTTTATTTTATATATCCTATATAGTTTATTTTTAATCACTTATTATATAATTATATTTTCTTATAAGTATATTTTTTGTAATAAATATAATATCTTTATATTATTTAAATGATAAAAAAAAAAAGATTTACTAATATATTAATTCTAATTAAAATCTTTATATAAGCTTTAAAACAGATCTTATAAAAATTTTTAAAATTATTTAAATCATTTGAGAATATTTATCTATTCTGTCTTAAATTAATTATACATAATTTATTATAGAGGTTATTTTAAAATAATATTGTGTTTTTATTAGTAAATTAATTTTTATCTTATATTTTGATAAGATGTATACAAATTTTTAAATTCTTAATTCAATATATATATATATATACGTTTTCAGTAGAAAGGAAGAAAACTATCAAAAAAAAATTTTTACTTTATAAATTAAATATAGTAAAATAAGTTAAGACTTAATATTAATTCAAAAATTTTATTTTGGAGTGTCCTCCTCCTTTCTAATGCATATAACCTTTGAAATACAATCCATTTTAAAAAAATGTATTTAAAGGGTGTACATTTATAAAAAGTAAACTAATTGAAGTTAAAACGAAGTATTTAAGAGATTTTATATAATACATTTATAGAAAATGCAATTCAATAAAAATTTATCATTTCAGAGAATTATATTCAATAAAACTTTTTGTTAAAAAAAAGTCATTGATAGTAAACTGATTTCAATAAAAAGCTTTGAACAATCAAAATTTTAAAGCGCGCACTTAATAATAAAAATTAAATTACAAACAGAATCTATTAACCAATAATATTCGATTATGGGGTGGCAAAATTCAGACAGATATCGCCTTATATAATTTAAATCCCTGTACCACTTGTGGCAGACAATATTAAGTATATAATTTATTCTTTCCATATCAGATATAAACAGGGTTTTGAATTGCGTAAGTTTTAATTTTTCGAGCCTTTTTTTTTTTTTAAAGCAAACAAAGTAACATTCAAAAATACCAATTGGAAATCACCTTAAGTTATGCACAAAATTTTATTAAAATTTGAAAGTAAGTTTTGAAAATACCCCCCAAAAAAGAAATGAAAAAGAATCAATGCGTCCTTGTAAAAAAAAAAAAAAAAAGTCCTTTGTTACAGACTTTAAGGTTACAATAATAACGGATTAATCACGTGAAATTTCCAAATGCCGCAGTAATTTCCCATAATTGTATGTTACGAAAAAAATCATTCGTTCATTAATAAAACCGTGTTCTTTAATGTATGTTTATTTATATAAAGAAAACTAATAAGGAGACTATTTTGTTTAACTGCAGCTTTTTTTACTTATTCTTCCTCTGTAACTCCCACTTCTGTCTCAAAGCTTAACTTTCCTGAACTGAATTTCATCTTAAATTTGCATTTTATAGTCGTTACTAAAGATCATACTGTAAAAAATAACGCAAACTGATGCCTAAAGGGAAAGATAATTCGCTAGGACCAAGTACTTGTCAGGAAAAACAAACCCTACCCATAATGCAACGCCCTACTCCTCCTGAAATACCTTGGGTCACTACGACAAACTTTCACAGCTTACCTACACCCGCTCCTTCACCACAACTCTTTCCGCCTGTAAATTCCGAAGGATTTCCACCTTCAGCTCAAGAAGAGTTTAGTCGAACAGTCAGAATGGGGTTTCAAAATATGGACAATTTACAGAGACAACGTCTCCTTGCTGAACTTTTAAACACCTGCAACACTGAACAACTTGTTTTCGTGTCTAATTATATATCACCACGTTTGAAACGTGACTTTCTTAAGGACCTTCCAATAGAACTTAGCCTACATATTTTATCATTTATAAATGATCCAAAAACTCTTTCTAGAGCATCAAGTGTTTCTAAATTCTGGCGGTCTTTATTAAATGATGAGTTCACTTGGAAAAATCTCTGTGTACGCCATCATTTTAGGAGACGAAGTTCATCTGCACCTGAGTTACCACCCTCCCCAACAAGTGAAACTCCCTCTTCCGGAAGCAACAAATTTTCGTACAAAGATCATTTTCGAAGGCGATATATTGTTGAAACTAATTGGAAACATGGGGGGAGAACTCTAATTACTCATATAAGTCCTGATATTGGAGTTGTTACATCATTACAAATGTGTCAGAATTATATAATTGTGGGAATGGATAATAAAAAAATTCACGTATTTGACGTATCTGATGGAAAATACATAAAGACTTTATCAGGTCATGAAGGAGGTGTATGGGCTTTGCAATATATTGATGAAGTGTTAGTCTCTGGAGGGTGTGACAGGTAAGAAATAATAATTTAAAAATTATATTATTTCGTAATATCTAATAAAAATTTTTTCCCTTTATAGAGAAGTACGAGTTTGGGATATCGATACAGCTGAATGCAAACATATTCTTCAAGGCCATACATCAACCGTGCGCTCACTAAAAATGAAAGACAAGACGATTGCTGTTAGCGGTTCTCGTGATGCAACCCTACGTGTGTGGAATATCAAAGAAGGTCGATTGCTTCACTCGCTTGCTGGACATCAAGCGAGTGTGCGATGCATGGAAATATGCGGAGATATCATTGTTTCTGGAAGTTACGACTGCACGGCTCGTGTAAATATGATATTTTTTCTTAGACATTTTCTTAAGACATCAAAAAATTTTCTAATTGATTTTATGTATATGTAGGTTTGGGATATCGTAACCGGTGAATGTTTACATGTACTTCAAGGACACTATTCACAGATTTATTCCATAGCTTTTGATGGAGAAAAGATCGTCACTGGGTTTGTATATACATAAATATAGTAAATTCTTTCAATTTAAATCTAAATATTAATTTCTTTTTTTTTTTTTTTTTGATAGCTCTCTTGATTCTACTGCACGTGTCTGGTCACGTCAAACAGGTTTTTGTCTAGGAGTTTTACAAGGACATACATCACTTGTTGGACAATTACAACTTTATGAATCGATACTTGTCACCGGAGGTAGTGATGGAGCGATTCGAATTTGGGATCTAGATACAAACCGTTGTGTTAAGCATATTGCAGCTCACGATAATTCAGTTACATGTTTACAATTTGACAAAAAACGGATTGTTTCAGGTGGTAATGATGGACATGTCAAATTATGGGATCTTGAAACTGGTGACTTTATTAGAGAAATGACAACTGCAGGGAATGCTGTTTGGCGATTGGCATTTCAAGAAACAAAAGCTGTTGTTCTATTACAAAGAGAAGGAAAAACTGTTATGGAAGTTTTAGATTTCGATGCACAGAAATCATAATTATTAAGAGAAATATATAAATATAAAACCCATAAAAAAAATTTCATACTACATTATATTGATTAATTATTTACACTCTAATATTGTACTTTATGTGTTGCTAATATAGAGTTTTGATTTACCGTTTCATCGGTTCATTATTATTTTATTTCCTCTTTTTTTTTTTTTTTTTTATTTTTTTTTTATTACCTTTCTTTCAAAATTTTCAAATTACAAGTAAAAGAATGAATAACCGAAAAAAAAAAAAATAAAAACTTTAAATCAGATCTGTAACACCATAATTTTTTAGTTGACAAACACGTTTTATTTTGGTGTAGATGCCACTTGTACAATTATGATAGGTGGGATTATGAAAAAAAAATTATCAATTATACCTAGAAACAGATTTTAACCTGCTAGCATTGCCCAAAGTTAAATGAACCAAAATATTTTTGCTTGCACATGTCGTAGAATCTAAAAAAAAAAAAATAATAATAAAAATAAACCAAATGGCTAATCTACCAACCCAACAAACTCCTTATAACCGTCCTCCGTCTCCAAATTTTCGTCCAATGCAGAATACTGATCCCAATCAACCGGTTCAGAGAGGGCCTTCTCCTTATCGTCCACAACCTCCCGGTCCTATTGGGGTTTCCCCAAATCAACGACCTGTTACAGATCCTCGTTACGGCACCCAACCATTATCACCTTTCGGGCGACCTTATACACCTCCCGGTCCACCTAACCCTCAAACGCGACCGACTCCACCAGGGGTTAGTCCTTCGCCACCATTACCTTCTGGTTTTCGTCCATCGCCTCTTTCAAGTAATATTCCCCATTCTGGCGCTCCCTCGGCTGGTCTTCCACCAGGAATAAGGCCGTCAGTATCACCAAGTTACAGGCCTGGACAACTACAACAAGGACAAATACAACAAGGACGTCCACCTTATCCGGTTCAGCAGACAAATCCCAATTATCAAATAATGCAGTCGAATTCTCCACCTCCAGTCGAGAATCCAGTATCACCAACTGGAACCTCGCCTCCGATTGGGGCACATAAAGCGAAGCGTTTATATCCTAAGCAAATCAATGAAGCTTATACGGAAACCACACATGAGCAGTATCCTACATTTACACCAGCAGCCACTGCTGGGATAACTGGTCCGCAACAAGTACAACCTTCAATTCAACAACAACCACCTCAATTCTTTACCCCCGCAGGAGATCAAAATTATGCATCAATGGCGTCCGTACCTACACCATATGGCCAACAATTTTCGCAGTCACAACAACCGTCATCAATGGCTGGGATGACGAATCAGTTCAGCAATATGGGTCTTGGAGGAAATTCTCAGGTACGTTTGCTTAACTTTCGTGAAATTTATCGATTCGCTTTGTTTTAATCTTGCTTTTTCCCCTTTTTTTATTCTTTTTTTTTTTTTAAAAAAAAAAAAAAAAAAGTCACAATTAATTCCAATTCATCTTATTGGTTTACCACCGAATATTATGGATCTTGATGCTCCACCACCTACAATTAATTTGCCACTTAATGTAAGTCATTATTATTATACACACAAATATTGATTTCCCTCAAAGCCGATATAGCAACAGGTGGTGTTGAACATTATGTTCACCACCTTTTTCTGATTTAAGACGTCTGTAACTCCTTCGGACAAAGCGAATTGTGATCCATCCTACAAACGATCAACTCTCAATGCCATTCCTGCCACATCTTCGCTTCTTTCTAAATCTCGTCTTCCCCTTGGTTTGGTTATTACTCCATATAGAAGTTTGAAAGAGGGCGACGTAAGTGATTAAGTTTAGCTATTTAATTTAAGATAATTTTTAATCTAAAATATATTTTTTATAGGATTCGGTTCCGGTTGTCACGGATACTGTCATAGCAAGATGTCGTAGATGTAGGACTTATATTAATCCGTTCGTGACCTTTGTAGAAGGCGGACAAAAATGGAAATGTAACATGTGTTTTCTGTTAAATGAAGGTAAGTATCATTGTACGGTTTATTCAATTTAGTTTGTTCATACCAATTATTAAATTATATGTAATCATTGTTACGATACAAGTTCCACCACAATTTGATTGGGACATACAGACAAATAAACAGGCTGACAGATGGAAACGTGCTGAATTAAATCATGCTGTTGTCGAATTTGTGGCGCCGACAGAGTACATGGTATGTTCTAACAAATTTATTTAATATAAATATATTAATATTATATATTTTTTATGAGGATAACGACCTTAATAACATAATTTTTTAAGGTACGTCCACCTCAACCTCCAGTATATTTATTTGTTATAGATGTTTCATATCCTGCAGTACAATCCGGTAAGTGTCAATTTATTTACGTATTTATTTGGGTTAATTTTTTGGAGATTTCTTAACATGTTCAGAAATTTATTTGGATGGGGTTGTAATTATACGAATTTAGTTTGATTTGGTTGATTTAATTAATTTTAATTCTTAACGGGAGGTAGGGTCGGGAATTTCATAATTTATTTTCAAAACTCTTCCAACATTTATCATTTGTGTGTGTTGGAATTGAGGGTTACGCATTTAATCAGTAAATTTATTTACACGGACTATCTATTTGAACCCAAATAAAGTTATGAAGAAACCCAATAAATACTTTCCACGTATAACTTTAGATAGAAACTTAATTATAATTTATTTATCTATTTATACATTAATTTATTTTTTTCCCGAAAAAAAAAGGTGTTGTTGCAACGGCCGCTAGAACCATCCTGGAATCGTTAGATCGATTACCTAATGAAGAAAACCGTACAAAAATTGGTTTCATTACAGTGGACACTTCGCTACATTTTTATAGCCTTAATGTTTGTTGAAGTTCATTTCATGTAATTTATTATATAATGTGATGGATAATTAATCAATTAACAAATTGATCTTACAGTCTAATTCATCGGTGCCACAAATGCTTGTTGTGTCCGATATTGAAGATGTATTTCTTCCACAACCTGATGATTTATTGGTAAATTTGACGGAAGCTCGGGCAGTTGTTGAATCTTTACTTGGAAGTCTTGGTGATATGTTCAAAGATACTCAAACTATTGGCAATGCTTTAGGTTCTGCTCTTTTGGCTGGCTTCAAATTAATTGTTTGTATTAATATTTCTATTTTTTTTTTTTTATTTGTTCTTGATTTTTTCTTCCAAAATATCTCATCATCATTATAATTTTTATCTTATTATTAAACTTAGTCTCCAATTGGGGGAAAGATTGTAGTATTACAATCAAGTTTACCAAATATTAATCCTGGATCTCTAAAGACGCGTGATGATCCTAAGGTTTTGGGTACTCCTAAAGTAAATATTTGATTAATTGTGATTCTTTTGTTGAAATATTAATACTTAATTTAGCATTTATTATTAATAGGAGTCTTCTTTATTACAATCTGCGGATCCTTTTTATAAAAAATTTGCAGTTGACTGTTCCCGTTCTCAAGTTAGTGTGGATATGTTTTTACTTGGTTCGCAATACTCAGATGTAGCTACACTAGGTATCTTTCTCTTTATTCCATTTAAAAAACTTCTTCATTTTATATGAATATATTTAAATATATAAATAATCCTTATAAAATCAAGGTTGTTGTCCGCGATACACGGGAGGACAAACATATTTTTATCCAGCATTCAATGCAGGAAGATCAGAAGATGCACTTAAATTCGCACATGAATTTGCCGAATTTTTGGCGAGCCCTATTGCACTAGAAGCAGTTATGAGAGTACGAGCTTCGAAAGGTAATTAATGAGTGAAATTTCCTCTTTTTATTCACCTTTTTACGATTTTTATTTCCTATTTATATAGGTATGCGTATGACTGCTTTTCATGGAAATTTTTTCGTTCGTCAAACGGATCTTCTGGCTTTACCTAATGTCTCAAGGGATCACTCGTATACAATTGAAGTGGATATTGAAGAAAATATTACAACTCAAACAGTATGCTTCCAAACTGCTCTTTTACACACAACTTGTTTTGGTTTGTAAATTATTTCGGTATTTTGCATGAAGTGAATTTTTTTCCAGATATATAATTAACAATTTCATATTAATAGGTGAACGTCGAATTCGGGTACTTACGCTTGCGCTACCGGTAACCAATAGTATTAGTGAACTGTTTGCTTCTGCTGATCAAGTTGCGATAACTACACTATTAGCAAATAAAGGTGTGAAAGAATATTTAAAATTTTTATTTGGAAAATAATATTAATATTAATTATTGTTTTCAATTAGCGGTTGAACGATCGTTATCCTCAAAACTGGAGGATGCTCGAGACGCATTAACTAACAAGATGATTGATATTCTTGGTGTATACAAGTCGGCCCTCACAAGTTCCCAATCTGGAGCTTCACCTCAATTACAAATTTGCAATAATCTTAAATTATTACCCTTGCTATCACTTGGACTGCTTAAACATGTATGTATTTGAACATATGCATGAAATAATTATAGTAACAATTAAAAGAAAGGAATTAATTAATTTGATAGGTTGGTCTCCGTGCAAGTTCGCAAATTCCAACAGATTTGCGTTCATACGCGATGTGTTTATTGACAACAATGCCCTCTCAGCTATTAATTCCTTATTTACATCCACGATTTTATTCACTGCATAATTTGTCACAAGAAGTAAGTGGTATTGTTATATTTAAAGTTTTCTATTAATATAGAACGAATGATCCAATAACCTCGATTTTTTTGTTAAGTCTGGAACGTATGGAACTGAGGGTATAATAATGCCTAAGCCGCTTAATCTTAGTAGTGAAAAATTAGAACGGCATGGTGCATATTTATTAGAGGATAGTCAAAATATTTTCATTTGGATTGGCAGACAAGTGTCGCCACAATTATGTATGGATTTATTAGATGTTCGTTCATATGAAGAAATTCGTGCTGGAAAGGTATATAATTTACAAATATTCACGACAGTTATAAACTGACGTTGCATATTAACTCTTTTGTTTTGAATTTAATGAAGGTTACTCTACCACAGCTTGATAATGTATTTTCACAACGGGTGAATGCAATAGTTGGTAAAACTAGGGAGATGCGACGTGGTGTTTATTATCCTCACCTTTATATAGTTAAGGAAGATGGTGATCCATCATTACGGTTGTGGTTTTTATCACATATTATTGAAGACCGCACAGACACTGTTATGAGCTATCACCAATGGTTAGCTCATTTGAAAGATAAGGTATATCTATTTTTGGGGGTTAATTTATACTCATTAATTATTAGCGTATTAACATTTTATAAATTGTATATATATATTTTTTTTAAAAAAAATAGGTCAACTCTGGTTCATTCTAATTTAAATCAACAATATGTAGTTGTAATTATTTTTATAAAAGATGGTGGAACAGGTTTCGCCAATTGGACGATTATATTATTAAATTGTGGACATTAAATATGTAATGTTTAGAATAATTTTTTAAGCTGTTGGAATCTATTTACGAATTGGATGAATATTTGTGAAAAAAATTTTAAATTAGTTAGGGTTGAGATGTAGATATTTTGTAAGTGATAATTAAAAAAAAAATTCAAATTCATATTATCGTTTAATGAAGAAACAAAAAAATACGGAAGATTGATCGCGAATAAAGTCATTTTATATAATTATAATATATTTTTTCTCGTCTTGTACTTTAAGTAGTGACTATCTCGTGATTTATATACGAACCAATATTTAGTTATTGAAATCCGGATGGATTGTAATACATCATTAAATAATCTATACTAAGCTTTGCTAAGCATGATTACCAATTCCTACATATGCATGCATATTGCTCCATCAAGCAACGCGCGAAGGAATATCCCCCGCGCTCCATTTGCATCCCTGTCCACAATCACATCGCATCCCTTGCACTTGTAAACTTTTCTCCCTCCAATATTCTGTATGTTTCCACATGCAGAACATGTTT